AGCGGTGCGGGCCGGGGGGGGCCGGGGTCGGCCGAGGTGCCCGCGCTCAGAGGGCGCACAGGCCGCGTCCCTCTGCCCAAGGGGCGAGCGTGGCTATTTCCTGGCAGAAAAAGCAATAACGTCATGCTCCAAGTTAGCCAGGAGTTGTTAAGATTTCCTTTCAGGGTGGGATTTAGCAGGACTGTTTCAAGGATTGCGCGGGGACGCGCACGGGTCTGCTGGGACAGAATTCGTGCCGTGAGCACTTACAGAAGCCTTTTTCTAATATATAGTTCTAGGGACTACTCAGCCCCCGTGAACTTCATCAGTGCTGGGCTGAAAAAGTCTGCAGCTGAGGATATGTCAGAGGAAGACTCCGATGAAGACGAAAAGCCTGTTAAGCAAGAAGAAATCCCTAAAGAGTTTGTGCCAAAGAAGTTAAAAACAGTGAGTTATCCAGAAATTTTTTAGTTCTATGTAATCTATTTATGAAACTTAAGCTGTAATAGTATCAAAGTTCTTGAGCCAGTAATAGAGTACTCAAGAAACGGAGAAATAATTGTAAACTAGAGAACTGATAGTGCACGTAGTTAAAGGAGATGTTTTCTATATTTTTTAAAGTTGTACTGATGTAGTGTTGTGTGTCCTTGGGAACGTTGCTCCTTTGTGAGCCCTTTTCGTTAATATTCATTTTGGTCAGTTGAGGTTAAAAATAAAAGAATGCTCGTGTTTTATTTCCTTGTTTCAGTTATTAAAATCCAAAGGTTGATTTATTCCCGCAGAACAATATGATTAGCGTGAGCATGATATAGATTAAAAACCGAACCGTATTTTAAGCTATCAAATACGGAAAAGATCAGGTAGGAGTTTCAGCTGTAGTCAGCGACAGACTCTAATAATTGTCAGCTTATATGGAAATTTCTTAAGTGGCAGGCTGCTTAAATGGACACAACAGTGGTACTCTCTGCCATCGTGAGGCGGAGAAACAGCAGTACCATGTGGTGATAGCTGAATCTTTTCAGGAGAGTGCCTTCTTTTTGAGTTAACGTATGCAAAGCTTGGTTATTAAATTGCCTTAAAAAGTTTGTTGTTGTTTGTAAATAGGGTGGTAATTTCAAGCCCAGTCAGAAAGGCTTTGTAGGAGGGGCCAAATCTTTCATGGATTTTGGAAGCTGGGAGAGACACACTAAGGGAATTGGGCAGAAGCTTCTCCAGAAGATGGGTTATGTCCCCGGGAGAGGTCTTGGGAAGAACGCTCAAGGTACTGTGATTGCAAGTTTGTTTGTTTTTTGCTGACTCACAAGAATCCAATCTCTCATCTGAATTTTATCTGTGGCTTAAAACCTCATTCTCATTTTCTGACATTTCTTGCAAATGATCTGAATTTTTATGATAAGATTCAATTGCGTTTAACGTACCATAGGCCATTTTTTTGTTTTCGTTATTTTGTATGAGGAGAAGAAGGAAAAAGGAGGGAGATAAAATTTCAAGAGTAGTCAGCTCAGAATGAAAGGAGACGTTATTTTATGCAGTAGAATGAAGAAGCACTGACATACAAATGTGAATAATGCTCTGCATTTGGTCGGTGTCTGCTCAAAAAAAGTAATTCTTGCTAATTTGATAACTCAAGTTACTGTAAGAAAAGCACTTTCAATTCTGTCTGAGTAACTAAACTGTAGTCCTTTCTGATCTAACTACTGTCCTGTTCAGGTATTATCAATCCAATTGAGGCCAAACAAAGAAAAGGCAAAGGAGCTGTAGGGGCATATGGCTCTGAAAGAACCAATCAGTCTTTGCAAGACTTCCCTGTTGTTGACTCAGAAGAAGAAGCTGAAGAGGTATGTGTATGATTCCTGGTATATCTCTTTTCTCATTGTTATGTTGTATTTTATGAAATTCAGGTCTGGTATCAGCTTCTATGTCAGAGAAAACTGTTTAGGCCAGTTTTAGGTAAGAAGCTAAAGACCTAACACCGTTTCATTTAGATGTATTTTTCTTGTCAACGTAACGTTCTCTTCATAAATTCTGGCTCCCTTTATTCTGGTAGTCTTGCTAGGAACCCCCCAGAATAAATCCTCTTTGTCTGGCTAAAATGGTAGAAACATTTGGATGCATTCTTTCTGGTTGTTTTTTGGTTCTTTAACAAAAGGAGAAATATATTGCTACCGTCATGAATAGCATGTTTGGGCGGACCACAGCATCTGAGCTAATTTGTCCCTCAGCTTTACTACTTCCCATGTTGTTTTGCTGTACAGCATTCTTCATTGGTTAATTTTTTGTAAAAAAAATTAGAGACACAAATTTGGGTCATGACAGAGAAGCAACCCGCAACTCCTGCTTGTTTTTGTTTAGGAGTTTCAAAAAGAGCTCAGTCAGTGGAGAAAGGATCCTAATGGAGGCAAGAAAAAGCCCAAATACAACTATAAGACAGTAGAAGAATTGAAAGCCAAGGGTAGGATCAGCAAACAGCTTGCAGCGCCTCAAAAGGAGCTGTCTCAAGTCAAGGTAAGGCTGATTTCCCAGAGATGCCATCACTTGGGTTATGATTTGTCCGCGTTAGTACTGTGAGTGCTTTTTAGCCATTGGTAACCTTAATAGAAGACAGTTACAAGAACGAATTGTCCACAGCCTCATGAAAATCAAAGGCCTCAGACTTATCACCAAGTCATTTAACACACTACTGCGTCACCTGGGACCTGGCACTTGTTCACAAGCAACCTTTTGACCTCAGGAAAAGGCAGATTAGCTTAGATGTCTTTCATTATGAGTTAAGTTTAATTGTATCTCGTTTATCATAAATTAAATGTGCGTCTACTTCTGAAAGCCCAGCTGTACATATTATGGTTGTGCATCTGAACTATCCTCCACCTAAAAGAGACAGTAACTAGATTTGTCCTTGATGCACTTAATTATTCACCTAAAATTACATGTCTTTAAAAACTTGTAAAATGCCCTAAGGCTTCTGTGCCATAATGAACTGTATATTACTTGCATCATCACTCCTTGTCGAAATACTCAGTGAAAAGGTAGAAGTGGCGTTAGAGGAAGAGGGCATTTCTCTCCAAACTCAGAGGCCTTTTCTCTGCACTTATTTCCAGCTCTGATTCCATGTTGTGTTCTTCATTCATTCCAAATCTTCATGTGGTTAGTAAGCCTCTTTAGAAATAATTCAGAACGCCTGATTGTATTAGTAGCCTGCTGGAGTGATTAAGGTACTCAGAAATCTCAGAAATCCAAATTTTCAATTTAAGCATGAAATAAGATTTTTTTTTTTTTTAAGGACATGCTTGTTCTTGTTTGTTGTAAGGTTATAGATATGACGGGCCGTGAACAAAAGGTTTATTACAGCTACAGTCAAATTAGCCACAAGCACAATATTCCTGATGACAGTCCTCAGCAGCCACTGGGCAAAGACTCTAAGCCCCAGGGATTTGCCTTGCCTGAGCTGGAGCACAACTTACAACTTCTCATTGACATCACAGAGCAAGAGATCATCCAGAATGACCGGCAGCTGCAGTATGAGAGAGACATGGTGGTCAACCTGACCCATGAGATACAGAAGATGTCTGAAGTCCTCTCTCATGAGGAGACGGCAATTAGCAATCTCAGCAAAGTCCTGGAGATGGTGGAAGAGTGCGAGAGGCGGATGCAGCCCAGTTGTGAAAATCCGCTGACCTTGGATGAGTGTGCAAAGATTTTTGAGACACTTCAAGACAAGTACTATGAAGAGTACCGAATGTCTGATAGGGTGGACTTGGCAGTAGCAATAGTTTATCCTCTCATGAAAGATTACTTCAAGAACTGGGATCCCCTCAAGGTGTGTATTAGTTTGATTTATTCACAGTTTTTATATGATGGCTAAGTTGCCTTTATTGTTTCGACTCCACTCCTTGCCCCGCATTCCAATCAAAATGTTGATTAAATGGCAGGGGAGGGGAAAGCTCCAGAGAAAGCTCCCAGTGTTCATGGTAGAGTGAAATAAATGTGTCCAAAAGGTGGATCCACTCTCCACCACTACCCAAATATTTGGTAATGCTGAAGTGTTATGTAACATAATGAACCATTTAGAAGTTTGTAAGATTCAAATCAAGCCCTTTTATGAGGGCAGCTGTTGGGAAGACAAAGTACATGAAAGCTAAGTCTCTACTCCTTTTTTGGCAAAAGCTGAAAGGTCTGTCTTTGAAGTAGTCATGTATGTGCTGTCTGTTCTTTATGCTATTTAGCCTGTGATAAGTGAAAGAGTCACCTAGCGGGGAAAAGAAAAAAAAACAAAACAAAACAGGTTTATCATCTTTCTCCCTGTGGGGTATTTTAAATCTGTAAAGTGGGGTTTTCCTCCTGTGGGATTACTGGTAACTGCTAGGGGTGCCTGCCTTGCCTTTTGAGTGGCAGAAGAGTTGGGTGAGAAAGCTCTCTCTTGTTAAGCATACCATCAGCCTGCTCTTTCTAGATACCTACTGAAATTAATGAAAAAGGATAAAGACTGCTCATGCCTTCTATCATTTCTAGGACTGTACATATGGTACAGAGATTATAGCCAAGTGGAAGAGCCTTTTGGAAAATGATCAGCTGTTATCACACAGTGGGCAGGATCTGTCGACCGATGCTTTTCACAGGTAAATAACATAAACTGTACTTTGTGCAGCATCTTCAAACGTTGCTTTCTCAGAGATGGAGAAGACTAGATCAATGTGTGCTTTCTAAATGATTCTCTTGATGTGTCAGTTCAAAGCCAGGTGTCAGCTATATAAATGAAAGCAGCTGTTAAATAGCTATTACCCATTTGGTTTATTTAGGCCTGGAGCTATAGTTTTAAGCTTAACTTTGCTTTTTTCCCAGACTGATGTGGGAAATCTGGATGCCCTATGTAAGGAATATAGTAACACAGTGGCAACCAAGGAATTGTGGGTCAATGGTGGACTTCTTGGATAGCTGGGTACATGTTGTTCCTGTATGGATACTGGATAACATTCTGGATCAGCTTATCTTCCCCAAGCTACAGAAAGAGGTAAGGTGAGGGAGCTGCATTAGAATGAAGCTGTGCTCTGAGCCAGCATTTCAACTTAGTCAACTAAAACTTCCAAACTTGTGGTGTGTTGCCTCTGACAAGGTATTTAGCGGTTAGGGGGTGGCGTTAAGCTCCTTTTGCATCTGGCAGAGGTTACTGATTAATGGATAGACTTATTTTTATCTTTTCTGTTTTGCCTCAAGGTTGAAAGCTGGAATCCTTTGACAGACACAGTCCCAATCCACTCCTGGATTCACCCCTGGCTTCCCCTGATGCAGGCGCGATTAGAACCATTGTATTCTCCCATCCGAAACAAACTGGCGAATGCGCTACAGAAATGGCATCCCAGTGACTCCTCAGCCAAACTTATCCTTCAGCCCTGGAAAGATGTGTTTACACCAGGGTCATGGGAGGCTTTCATGGTCAAAAACATTGTGCCTAAACTAGGTGAGATGAGCCGAGCAGTGCTGAATTTCTGGAATCTGCTGGTTGCCAGCTTCCCCCTTAAGCCTGGAAAAGATATATATCGACAAAGTTGCCAGTGTTGTTTCGAAGGGATATTATTAATTAGCTTAGAGCCAGTTTACATCTTTTGTGTTACTATTATACATTTTTTCAGACAGACAGACATTTTAGAAAAGAGGAAGTGCTCTGATTATTCTCAGTGTTTTTTGTCTTATTCCTCCAATATCTGATAGCTGTCAGGTGGTACCGTGCTACAAAATATCTATCTGTAAGCCCTATATTCTTGTGGTCTATGCTAATGCTTTCACCGTGAGATCTTGTAATTCATCATTCACCCACACGAGCTGGCTGAAAGGCTCTTTAGTCTAAAATAAGAGTTTAATGTTTTAAATTTCTGAACTCTGGCAGCAAATTGTTTCCATTTCCAACGATTACATACTGCTTTGGAGGCTGGGATCAGCCAAAGAGTTTAAAGATCTTGAAGGTCTTTTTTGGGTAATATTCAATACAATCGCTCCTCAAATCATGTATGTTGCTAGTTAAATAAGTTAAAGCACTGAGAAAACAGCGAGTCAAGTTCTGTTCTAACTTTCCTCCCTCTTTTCCCAGGGATGTGTTTAAATGAGCTCATCATAAACCCTCACCAGCAGCACATGGATGCATTCTACTGGGTAGTTGACTGGGAGGGAATGATTTCTGTCTCCAGTCTTGTTGGACTGCTGGAGAAACACTTCTTCCCTAAGTGGCTGCAGGTGAGAAATAATCAAGGCTGAGTAACTTTTAATAGGCTTAATTCACAGTGAAGTGTTTTAGTGACTTCTGCCTAGTAATTGTTGCCCTAGTACTGGAATGACTTTTCTGTAAAATGGGGCGATCACCACTCATAGCTTCATACCCATCAGATTACAGGCTGCTTCCTAAGACTGTCACCTTTTCTTGGTACTGAAAGTTCATTAATAACCATACTAAGTGATAATAAGGGCTTTCCCCCATAAATTCTCCCATTTCTCTGTCCTATTGAATTTGATCTGTTACACTGTTTTGCAGGTGCTGTGCTCTTGGCTTAGTAACAGCCCCAATTATGAAGAGATCACAAAGTGGTACTTGGGTTGGAAATCCATGTTCTCGGATCAGGTGTTGGCGCATCCATCGATCAAAGACAAATTTAACGAAGCTCTAGATATCATGAACCGGGCTGTCTCTTCTAGTGTTGGTAGGTGGCTTTTTGTGATGGCTCTGCTTCTCCCAATACAGCAACACTTGGTTCCTGTGAGCCTGTATATGTATATGTTTATGACCCTGCTAATCAGCATTTCAGCAGCTCCAGTGAGCAGTAAAATTCTAAGTGCTTTTTACCTTGCTCTGTCCATAATAACTGTCCGCACTTCACTGAAGCAGATGCAAATTTTTGGTGATTCGTTGCCTCTGCCATTAAGCAACTGATCCTCTTTCGGCGTAGCCTGAATAGACTATATTATGTCAGTTTCTGAGACACCATCAGAGACCGTCATTTTAAAATGTTAGCTTCAGAAGCTACAATTCATTGGTGGTGTTTTTCCTTCACGTTGAGATACTGGTTCTTCTCCTTAGCTTCAGAGCCGTGCTCCCCCTTCCACAGGCCTTTCCCTGTGACACAAAAGATCATTAGGAATTGGCTGGGAATTAAACTGTATAAAAAGGGGAGGAAACGCCTGAGGGAGGAGAAGCATTTACAATTTGTCTTGCCCTCGATGAGTGAACTACTTTCATGTTCCTCTAGGAACTTGTTGTATAGCCTGATCCAAATCAGAAACATAGACTTCAAGCAATCCTCTATCTTAAGGTGTTACAGTTATTTCTGTAGTAAAATGATACAATTGCAGGCAAGCATTGCACAAAGAGGAGTTTATTTGTTGTGAAATTTCTGGCATGGTACTCAGGGCAGCCACAAAATGAACTGAAACCGATAGTGCGAGTACTTCTTGACGAATTGCCTCTTCCTTCCAATGTGACGCTGCTTGATTTTTTTGGTAGCAGTCATTGCTTGTAACTCAGAGGTGGCATGTGGAGACCACAGGTCAGGTTTCGTCTTTAAAGAGTGTTTTTTGTTCTTTCTGTTGTTCAGATTTTCCCTTTGTCAGTACCAGTGCAGCATCCTCCCCTGCTGTGCGTGCTCAGATACCAACTGGAATTGTATCAAATCCTGTTGTTTTTGTAGACTAAGTAGGTCAATCAGCGAACTGCATCATATTAGTATTAACACTGTAAAACTTAAGAATGTCTGAAAAGGAAGGTTCAAAACTTTACGAATCTGCTTTACAGGATTTGATACTTGCTGTGCCCTGGATTGGCGCTTACTTATAAACCTTGTGGTAGGAATGGACTTGGACCTTGTTTTCACATGTTTCATCTCACTCCGAAACAGGTGGCTACATGCAACCAGGCGCTCGGGAGAACATTGCCTACCTTACGCATACAGAGCGAAGGAAAGACTTTCAGTATGAAGCCATGCAGGAGCGTCGAGAGGCTGAGAACATGGCCCAGCGAGGCATAGGCATGGCTGCCAGCTCTGTGCCAATGAATTTTAAGGACCTAATTCAAACAAAGGCAGAGGAACACAATATTGTTTTCATGCCTGTGATTGGAAAACGGCACGAAGGAAAACAGTTGTATACATTTGGACGGATTGTGATTTACATTGACAGAGGCGTTGTATTTGTACAGGGAGAAAAGACTTGGGTGCCAACCTCTCTCCAGAGTCTCATTGATATGGCTAAATAAGGCCCCTGCTTTGAACTGTGAAGATTATCTTGCTATTATTTTAATACAACTGTCCTAGAATAAAGAAGTTACAAATTTGTAAATAGATGAAACTTCAGCTGTATGCCAAGATTTTTTTCTTAGAGCTGTTCAAATAGTGTCAAGAGGTAAAATACACGTGGAAGCTGGTGCTAAGGGAGAAACAAGCAGTTCTGATGCTAGTGTAATTGCCACCTCTGATACAGATCCATCAGTTGTCCTTTCACACCATTGGGCAAGTGAAGGTAAAAAGGGACCTCTGGAGGTTGTTCTCTGCTCAAAGCAGGGCTGTTAACCAACACCAGATCAGCAAGGGCTTTGTCAAGCTGAGTCTCAGAAGTCTCCACAGCGATGGAGATTTCACAGCCTCTAACTGCTGCCAGTGAAAATTCTTATCCAGATAGCGTCCCTTGCTCGGCTGGCCCTTTGCTACCAAACATAACCCAGCCACAGTGTGCTGCTGGCTCATTCAACCTGGTGCCTGTTCTAAACCTCAGACCCTTGTAACTAGAGTTTAACACCCTGAACTATAAATCCCTCACAAACAACACCCCCTTTTGGACAGTTCAGAACATGAGAAGTACAGTCAGAGACTTTGAATTGTGCAAAAGAGTGATCACTAAGTGGTATGAGTGGTTTAGAACAGTTTTTCAGTTAAATTAGCTTGCTGTAGTTAAGTGACCATAAGCCACAGCATAGCTTTTATGTTTATTAAATTATAACTTTTTAGAGACAAATCTGTCCCATAAAAGCAGCAGCACCTGAAAACGGACCTTTAAGTTTGGCAGACGATGATGGCATTGTCAATACCTGAGCTTAACCTCGAGCGCACACAGTTGCTGAGGGAAGGGGGAAGCTGCCCTTCAAAATAAGGCACCAGTTGCAGAGCACAGTTAAGACTCCACTGCAGTAGGACTGCACAGGTTAACTTTGTCTTCCTTTCTGATGATTTCCAACTCGTCACATTCGTGGTAAGTAGGCTCTTCCAGGAACTCCCAAACCTCACTGGAGAGTTCCTTGAGTTTTTGCAAGGGAAACCAGTGGATGGAGGTGTCATTAAATGTATTCATATACTGAGGGTGAGTTGGAAATGCAATTTCCTCTGTCCCCTTTAAGACCTAAGGGTAGTTGAAGAGAACAGTTATGTATGATGCAGAAGAACTTTTCCAGAAAGTTGTGTTAAGATACAGAGAAGATGGGAATGGTATTAAGCTAACCAAAAACCCTGTTTGCAGAGTGTTTTGCAGATAATATGACGTTAGAGAGATTCATCTCTATACGAGAGCAGCCAAGAAATGAGGTTCTAGAAGTTTATTATATTTCTGAGGTTTTCTACTCATTGACAAAGCACCTATTAACGTAAAGCATTAGTATTTACAAAGCTAGTGCTTCTTACCTTTGCTATGTAAGAATAATCTCTCTCCAGGATTCTTGACAACAGTCTACCAGAAAAAAAAACAAGGTAAACTAGCATTAGACATGCTTGATGTTCTTTTGAATTCAAGACGGCTCCCTTTCTAAACAGATGTGTGGGGTAGAAAAGAGAGTGTTAATGACTACAAACTTCATAGCAAGTTGAAAATAAGCAAAACCCCAAGCACTGCATGAAAATCACTGTCAAGAGCCATAGAAGTAAGCAAGTAAAGAGAGGGCTTTTGCTGCAGCAAGTCAAGGAACAGAACGTTAGGGAACAGAAAGCTTCCATTTTGGGGGGACACATGCTTACCTTTCCTCAATTCCTTTAAAGCTGTTTCCAATTATGACCATTTTGGACAGAGCCCCTATGGACCAGTTACTCCACAAGAGATTGTTATACAGAGCTTTTCCGCAGTGGATCATATAAAAGAGAGTGGCAGACTCATGAACGCGGTGTTTCCCCTCCTGCATATTAACAACAGTTGTTGTTACTCACAGTTAGTTTCTCCCGTTCTCTGAATGCTGACAGCGTAAGCAGAGCTAACGTTGCCTCAGCATCCTGAGGCCTTTTAACCCACGAGCTCTCCCGCACCCCTGAGGTGGAGCTGGAGCCCTGCGAAACTGTGCCAGCGCTTCCGCTCGCTCATTCCAGTGCCCTTCGGAAGGGCTGCGCTGAGCGAACGCGGGGCGAGAGCGGAGAGGGGACCGGGGCGGCAGCAGGCCCCGCTCACCTCGTTGTCCGGGAGGACGCGCAGGCCCAGCTCGCCCAGCACGGCCAGCTCCTGCTCGGAGAACGCGGGGTCGAAGAGGAAGCACTGGCTGCGCGGCACCTGCACGGGAAAGCCGTGGGTCGGGGGAGCCCGGGCGGGGGGAGCTCGGCCGGGGGGGGCTCGGGGGCGCGGCCC